TCACAGCTCAGCGTGAAACTCGCCAAACTGCCCTGTTTCCGCACATTTTGGACAGGCAAGGGCTAGAGCGCTGCTCAGTTCATCCCGGGCGAGGAAAAAGAGCTGAAATTTAATCAAACGAGATGTTTGGGGAGGGGGGAGAGGTCACTCGTACCCCAGGAGGAAGGACCCACTGGGCATGGGGCACGGTTATCCAATAAAAATAAGTAAATTTTAAAAAAGTGTATTTCCCCCTGTGCTTTTTGGGAGGTTTTGAGGGAAGAAAGCGTGTGTGCGCATCCTTGTGAGCGTCTCGTTGCTTGAGCGCGGCTCGGGGTTTATACGTATTCCCCTGGCCGGAGTGGAAACGGGAATCCACAGCAGTGCCAAATCCTGCAAATCCTCCTCGCCCAGGATAAGGCGCGCAGTCACACTGTGTTTTGAATCACGCTTATAAAAAGGAAAACACGGTCAAATGGGGCGGAAGAATTTAGAGTATCTCTGCCCATCACTTTAGGGCTGCGGATCCCCAGGTCTTAAATATTATTGTTGTTCCATTCCTTTTTCTGCTGATAAAAATGCGTAGAAATCACCTTTCCAGATGTGAATGCGAAGCGCGCTCCACGGGGCTGCGAGCGCCAGGTGTCTTGATTTGACACCGGGATTTTGGGGAGTTGGGGCAAAAGGAGAGAAGATCATTTATAAAACGTCTTTGCCCCTTTTCACCTTCGATACAGGACTTAAAAATGCACTTGTAAATCAATGAAGCCGAAGCGGAGCAGCTTTCCTGGGCTAGCTCAAATCACCATTTTTTATCTCTTGCATGATCTAAGCAGGGACATAATAACTGGAGAATTCTTCCCTTTATATTTCGTTTTAAAGTGAGCAAACAGTTCGGGAACACAGAATCACTTAAAGTGAGTGTGATAAAGAAGAATGATTTTGGGTCTCCTTTAATGGTAAGGGGAGAATTTTTTTTGCTGTGATTTTTTTTCTTTCTGTTACTCTTGCTGCTACTGATTTAGTTTTGTGCCTTTTTGGGGAAGACCTCATCTGTGTGTGTTTTTGTGTGTGTGTGTGTGTGTGTGTGTGTGTGTGTGTTGGTGTGTATGTATGTATGTATGTATTTGGAGAGTCAGAGCAGCAGGAGAAATTTTTAGGTTTTATTTTGCAAGGTGTTTGTTTCCTTCGCTCCTTCCTTACCTATAAACATATATTATTTGTAACTGTTCTACATCTTTCTGGAGATGGGTCACATCAGAAAATGTTACTTTGTAGCCAGAACAGACAACCAGCATCTAAAAGAAGTTTGTCAGGAAATCGTAGCTAATAAGGGCATCGAAAGGACAAGAAGCAGGTAGATTTTAGAGAGAACTTCCTTCTGCTTTTGAAGAGCTAAGCTGAAAATTTTGTTCTCTAAAATTACAACAATCCGTGTTTATCCGTTTACTCAAAAAGTCTGTGATCATCCAGGTGAGGAGAGGAACAGTTAGTGGTGTCAACTGTATCGCTCGAAATTGCAATTTTTGCTTCAGGAATTGGATGCATTTGGAAAAAGGCAGAGCCATCTAGAGGAATACCCCAGCTATTACGAGGCAGTGTGAAAGGTGGTTTCCCTCAAAGGCATGCTATGTTGCCTTTGAGTTTTCTTCAGCTGATTTCTCTACCTCCAACAAAGGAAATGGGTGAGAAAATAATGCTGAATTAGCTCTAATAAAAATGCGTGTCCTCAGAAAACTCCAGCTCGCTTTACCAAACAGTGCGAAACGTGAAACAAAAATAGCTTTATAAAGGTTATTACGTAGCCAGGATAGCACGGATATGCAAACCAAGACTTAATTTAAAGAGTGGAAAAAATAAAGCTTTGATGGTGAGATGGCTTTAGAAATGTTTAATTTTCTTAAAGCGTTTATCCTGCAAATGGTATTCAGTATTGCCTGAATACATTGTGAGCTCTTGGTACAAACCTGTTGCTTTTCCCTTTTGCCAAGACATGTGAAGAGAAACACTGAGAAATCCAGCACTCTGCCTTTGTACTTGCTAAACTGTACTCTTTTCCAGAGAGGTCTGGGAGATGTTTGCCTTTGAGAAATGCAGGAAGCAGCCAGCAAGCAAGGTGCTGAAGCCCAAAAATGAAATCGGCTTCAAGGTAAGTGTCTAAGGCTATTGTCCGTCATTGCAAGCAGATTCAGTCAGGCTTGAACAATGCTTTGAAATTACTCTGTTATTACCAAGTTGCTGGGACATTCATTAACACCGGCATTACTAGCCGGGGCAGTGAGCTTGCTGGGTAGAAGAGCCCATGGCACATTGGAGTCAGGGCTGAACTGTATCCCCAGCCAGCTCTGTGATTACACGCGAACCTCTCCAGCGTGTTTCCTTTGAAAGTGTTTCAAGACCCGTTGAGGGGAAGTGCCGCAGGAGAGCGAGGTCCTACCAGTCCTTGGGTAGTACTAGCAATTCCATTTGCTTTGGTGCTGTGCTGGTCCTTGTCGTCCATGCAGCGAGCGTTTTTCTCGTTGGGAAGAAGACGTTGTCTTTGCCTCTAAGGCCTTGCTCCTGTGAACATGTAGGTACAGGCTGAACTTTGCTATGTGAATCTCAGGTGCGAACTCCGAAACCTGAAAATGCTTCAGACCTGAGCACTCAGCTTTCCAGTGGGATTGAACACCTACACCCACCTCGATCTCTCTCTATTTCCTGAAAATGCTGAGATCTAGCCGTAGGGACCGTGTTGGAGGATCGGGACCTAATAGCTCATATTGGCTGCTACTGGCTTTACCAGTAGGATATCGACCAGAATTGCTTCAATGGCTCCGAATTGCTGCAGTGAAGCTGGAACCACAGGTCTGGTTTGTTTTGGCTGCGTTTGCAATATAAGTCTCACTTTCTCCCTAGGGCTGACAAGAGGCAAGGCAGTAACTCTGTGGCCCACATATGAAATAATTCTTCATATGCAGATTGTATCTTTTTCCAGAGTCATCAACAAAATTGGGAGTGAATTCTTCATCCTCTAGGACAATTTGGGAGAATTATCTTTTTCCTAGCAGTGGTCCAGGACCTTTGCTCTACCTTCATTCTTCAAGAATATTAGCAAGGAATTAATCAAGAACAGCTCAAATTAAATTTAAACTCATCAGCTTAAATGGGAGTTTACCGCTCCCTTATTCATAGCTAAGCCTATTCCTTCCTAGACTGGGTAGTTTATGCCTATTAATCTGCTCTAAGAAATTCTCTTTTTCACTTACCCTCTGATTTGTGCTATCGAGGGGTAACAGAGAATATATGATAGTGCGCAATAGATGTTTCACTGACATGATTTCTGGAAGGGTGTTCTGTGTACATGTGTATAGGTTGAACTAATTTTTATCCCTTACCTAAGGAAAATAATGTATATTCATCCCTCCTTGTATCTAGTCATCTATTGGACTGAAGTTCTGGTGATCAAATTTTGCCAACTTACGTTATGATAAGATCAGAGGTTTTCAGCCTTTCTTGATTTTTCAGACCCTACAACATTTCCTGGGGAGGTGTCCTCATTCCACCATTTTCAGCCTCCTGACAGCAGGCTTGGTTTGGTTTTGTTTCTAGTTGCTGTTCATGTTCTCCTTAAAAGCACTGGAGGCTGCAGATTGAAAACTGCTGAGACAGTTAGCATTTTGGAATAGCAAATATTTTCCTGTTGCATTTATATGGTGCTGAGTGTGATGGAGCCTGTGGACTCTGCCACAAGACAAAGAATAAGTCATTATAGTTTATCGCAAGCTGTAGTTATACAAGCACTTTAAGTTGTCATAAGCGAACGCCCTTGCTGAAAGAAGCAGTTCTGCTCTGTCCACTCCTGGCTGCTTTTTCTGGCTGCTGTGCTCACACAAGTGTTTGTGTGGCTGTGGACTGGGGAACTGATCCGGGTCAAAAAAAACCTCACCCCTGCCACTGCTCTTTTTTTCTTTCTTTCTTTCTTTTTTCCTTTCTTTCTTTCTTTCTTTCTTTCTTTCTTCTCTCTTTTTTCTTCTTTTCCCCAGGTTAGTTTTAGCCTGGGCCAGTGCCCTGATCCAGTCCACTGTAGGGTGAAACAAATGCTCCTTCTGAACAAAGGAGAGTGGAACTACATCTTCTGGTGCTCCAGCAGCTTCGGGGTATTTGTGGTACCAAAGCCTTGGGGTGAACCCTCCCTGTCCCGAAGGCCGAGTACAAGCACTGCCTTTCTCCCTCTCCTGTGACTTTCTTCTCCCAGTGCAGTTAGTGGGTGACTTTCAGATTCAAATCAGGCTCCTGCCTAGCCCCTTCCTGAATAGGAGCTTGTTAGCAACTGATTAGCCCGAGTTTTGATAAAAGCTTCATTGTTTTGTAACCTTTGTAGGCTACTTGTAGCTGTGCTCATAATAAAAGTGGGATTAAATAGACACCTTGGGAGTGAGGCGGTTGCAACTGGGAATCTCTGAGTTTTGCGGGGCAAGGGGATCATTTAAGCAGCTCTTGCATGTCAGAGTTGATTTTACCGAATTGGGAAAGAAGCCTGAATTTTGGATTGCGGGGTGAGGAGCGGGGAGGGAAGGAAAGGGAGGTGAGTCTGGTAGGAAAAAGAAGGAAGTCAACTGTTTGCGAGTGGATTAAGCACACACTCCAGGTGTTTGGAAACAAGTTTGCAGCACTCAGTGCGCTCTGCATTTCTCCTGCCGTGCTCAAAGAACAGCCTCTCTTCGTGCCTAAGATTTACAAAAAGTATTAAAAAATCCCCAGTCTGATCCCACAAACTTTACCTCTCCTTATTTTATTTTTGCAACAAAGCCCACCTGACAAAGAGGGGGGACCAGCTTGCTGGTATCTGGTGGTGTCTTTTCTGAGAGGACTGTTGAGTAGGGGGCTTTATCTCTCCTGCTTAAAGCTGGAAACTGATGTAGGCTGAAATAAAGCAACATCTTTGTGGTGTCTACCTCTTTTTGATGCATAATGGGATGTTTGAAATGGAGCTTGGTGCTCTGGGCTGCTTGCCCTATTGTGAGCACTCCTGTACAGCAAGGTAAACACCAATATCCTTTGGTCTTAAGTCATCCGAATAGGTCACCTCTGCCCTAGAATGAACAATGGAAATAAAAAAACATGAGGATGAATTTATAGTCAGTTAAGACAAAAATGGTCGAAGCTATTAATAGATAAAGGCAGTAGCCACCACCACCACTATAAGGAAATAGAGGAGTATTAAATTAATATTTCTTTTCCATGTTTGTCTGGGGGAAAAATCAGACAGTGTATTAGTATCAGATGTCGCTGAAAGAACATTCTTGGCTCCATTAATAAATAAGGATTATGTTAAAAGCAGCCACGTAAGTTAAATATTTTATAATTAGCCAATTCAGTTAATTTATATCCAAGAGTTTCAGAACTCTTGGAACCAGGATCACAGTGGGCCATTAATGCTGATTTTTGATTCTGGGACATTGGAAAGATTTTAGAGGACTGGAAGAAAACCATTATTAGCTTGTTACTTGGAAGGACCGGGCAAATGAGTTGAGTAACACTTAGGCCATCAGCCTGTCACTATCACAGGCAAGAAATAGTGGACACGTCATTGATTAATGAATTATTAAAGAAAGACAATGCAACTGATGCCAGTGGGTGTGCAAATATAGAAAATAATAGGTCTCGTAAAACTGATTTGCAGTTGTCCTCCAGTAAGAATAAGCAGCTGTAACTGGCTCCTGAACTGGCTCCTGTTTGATAAACATCATACTGGAGTTGAATTAAAAAAAAAAGATTAAAAATCGGCATGGTGCAAATTAAGTGGATCTAACAGGTTAAGTAGTAGATCTCAGACTGTCACTGTGAATGAGGAATCCTTGAGTCTGAAATCCTCTGAAACTGATTCTTTGTTCTATTTCTGTTGTTTATCTGGGGGAAAAATAGAGAGTCATTGCTGGCTGAATGTGTACGAGGCAAAAATGGGGGCTATAGAGTTGTAAATAGTGAAGAGAACATTTTACTGACACAGACTTACCTCAGTCTCTGCATTGGAACTGGGAGCAAATAAGTGGGACATATTTCAGGATGAAGTAGCAGAAGGACACATCTAAGAACAAAATCTGAGACTGATAGGGTGGTAGAGTCTGTCGTGGAAATTATTTTTTTTTTAGATCTCTGTGGTTCTTGTTACTGATCAGCGTTCTTTATTGTGACCTTGGAGAGTGAGGTGTAAGAATAAGGAGTTATAATAATTTCGTATCTGGTACTATATCAAATTATAAGGCACTTACAAAATCGTAAGTGGCAGGGAAAAGTGACAGAGATGTTATTGTTCACTGCCTAGTCAAATAGAAGAGCTAGGGGACCTCAAATAAAACTGGCAGGAAGCATGTTCCAGAGAAGACACCACTTTGCACAGTGATTTAATCCTTGAAATTCCTCAAGGAACTCACTTTAATTGCTTATGAGAAGAGAAGGTTGAGGGTGACTTGAGTGCTGTCTATAAATGCGTACTCAGGAGCAGAAGCGTGAGAATAAAGACTGATCTCCTGGCAGGCAAGGCTGTAACAAGAACCGGTGGCCAGAACTGAAGCAGGACAAACACAAGGGGCTCAATTCAGCTGCTCAAACCTAGGTATCTGGTGCTATATGAGGAGCTCTGTACTCTCCAGTGGTCTCCCGTAGACAGGGTTTCACATCCGTTGGGCATTGCAGATGTCTCAGATAGCCTGGGGCACCTCCGATAGTTCTAAACACCTGTGTGTGGGCAACCGCGTTAAGTCCAACGTGTCCATTTCTACTGTGGTACATAATTGTTAGAATACATTACCAAGAGTTATTGTCAATTCATCACTACTTTTAAAATGAAAGTTGAATGTTTCATCTGATACATGCTTGTCAGAAGACAGCTCCTGAGGGAAACTATGACCCGAGTCCTTCTGCATGCATATGGGATATATTCATCGTGATCTCGCATTTTCTCACTTTCAGTTCCAGTTCAAACAATGCACTATACTTGGCTAATTCCAGCCCCAGAGTCAGAGCTTTCCTCAGCTATCTTGCCTTTTTTGCACTTGGCATAATTTTGCCCAGTACAGACAAACTCTGTGACATTTCTGTTCAGGACCTAGCTTACCAAGTGCTTTTGATAATCCGGATACTGCTACCCCTAAGTAAGAACTGCCC